TTCCAAAATTTTCACGGGCCAGTGATGGGCAACGAGCAAGAAGTCACCTGGAACGACGATCACGGACACCACCACGAAGACTATGTCGCTCATCCCCATTATGCCTTTTCGTACGGGGTCGAGGACCACCATACGGGCGATTATCACGGTCAAAAGGAGCATAGGGACGGTAAGATACGTAGTTTGAATGGAGATTAATCTCCTCTGCTTTAGGAGGATCCTTCTCGTCTTGTCGTACGTATATATCGCGAGCGGGAAGAATAAGAATAACCTACTTACGTACGCGGAATCGCGATGCCGTGCTCTGGGGGAGAAAAAGCTGACAAATGTACCGAGGTGAACGTAGGACAGACTGATTGTGCGAATAAAAGTGGCAACGTGACCTTTGCTTGAGCAATTTTATAATGTTGCTCTTAGAATACTCAATGGAAAGCCACGACACGGTAATTCTTTTAACTTGACTTACATGTGCTTTATCACTCGTCGAGCGATGTTTTATTAGTAATGTATGCAATTTTAGAAACGATTTTAAAGGAATAAGAAAACTTGGATATGGATTTATCTTTACTAAAAATTTTGCGATTTAAATAAAAAAAAGTTTTTGAAATATGATTTTATTTTTTTTCAATTTCAATTCTGTGATTCAAATTTAAACAATTATATATTTTTTTTGCAAATATGTATTTTAAATAAAATCTATATTTAAGCAATTATTCTCTAATTTTTAAAATTTATTTAAATCGCATTTGGATATCAATAAATATTTAAAAATAAATTTTAGTCCTCTCTTTCTTTTTATAATTGGTATCCCTTATTATAGTAATCGCAATATAAACATATTATTTTATCAATAAATTTTGTTAAGATAAAACAAAAATTTTCGTAAGAAATATCTCGTTTTTAATAATTCGATTTTCCATTGATATAATTTTGTAATAATATTTCTACAAAGCGCAACTCTTTCTTATATTAAGCGAGATCATCGAGCGTCGTCAAGTTTTTAACTGGAGCGAGAGATTTCGTTGCAACGCGCCGAGAGAAAAGTTAGGAACGATAAAAGTGCTGCTAAAAAACCGCGCTTCAGTATTCCTGTCTTCAAAGGCAGAGGCGCACCGGTTGAAAAGTTTATAACCATATAAAGCTTAGATAGCAGCTATTGATAGAAGGGTCTCTGAGTAATTGCGAGCGTACCATTCCTATCCTTTCTCGCAAACGTTAAATTAATCAGAATAACTAAAATAGATTACAAAATTTTGTCACGTTTTATCAAAGCCAATTTTTAATGTAAATTTAATAAATCATGCTGTAACTATTAAGTAATAAATTATAAAAAATATATATTTTAATGGAATAAAAATCCGCAATTCGATGATGATTGAACGAATGTAAATACATTAAATTATGATTTATCAATTATTACACTTGATAAATGAATCTTCTAATAGTTTTTGCACTTTTTAATAATAGATTTATCAAGATAATCATTGCGTTCTTTCTCTCTCTTTCTCTCTGTAAGATTTATTCTCCTTTAAAATATTTTAAGTTTCTTTATATAATCGAGTAAAAAACATAGCGAGATGTAAATAGTTATGGATTTAAAAAAATAGAGCGAAAACTCTATATTTTGTTGTACTTATATAAATCTCAATTCGTCTCCATAAAAGAGAACGATAACGCATGTCTCAAATGTATCAGCTTCGCGTGAAGCAGCGCGAGACAAATAACTTATATGTCGACGTTTTGCAGGCACAGAAGTGTTCGGGGAATATACTGTAAAGGAACCAGATGGCAATATCAGAACAGTAAAGTATCAGGCAGGCAAGGACGGATTTCACGCTCAAGTGCACAACAGCCGAAGCGATCACCATAATCGCGATCATCATTAGCCTACGCGGCTCGATACTACCTTCTGTCAAATTTTATCTTATTCTACGCGAACTTACTTAGTTACGTACTTAGTTGTTTTATATCCATTATTTTTATTAAATATAATCGTTAATAAACGTTTCATTTATATTACACTCATTAAAAGAATAATTAAGTACCTAAATTTTCCGTTTCCATCTTTTCAATAAAGATTCACGGCTATTTTCACGATAGAATCATTGTCATAAATTGCCTTTCAATATTGCAAAATGACTTTGATGCTGTTGCGAAAGCTGATCAATCGCACAATTATTGGACTAAATTCCTCTTTGGAAGAAATAATTACTTCTTCCAAGGAAATTTAACTAATTGTAACCGGCAATATTGGATTCTTATTAATTCAATTTCCAGGTAAAACTGTTTAAGATGTTTTAAAAAGATAATTTTGCGAAAATGAGTAATTTATTTCTTGTATTTGTAATTATATTATGCTCTCTCTAATTATAATCTAATCTATATTAGGCTCTCTCTCTCTCTAATTATAATCTAAACTCTACTGTTAGAGAATGAGGTTTATAGAAAATCGAAAACTCTATTAATGTTTCATGCTTTTGGTGCATCTTGCCTTGTCTTAAACAAACATTTGTTAATAATAAACAATCAAATATACATGCACAAATTAACACAATGAATAAATAATTATTTTTTTTTAAGTATTATCAAACATATACTTTAAAAATAAAATGTGTTATTATTTTAATGAAACAGAACGAGAAGTAACTTTGAGATTCATCCACTTTCTGCTCACTTGTCTCTCATATAGGTCGAACTCGTAAATAATTCCGACATACCACAAGGAAAGCATATCTCATAGACATTAAGCAAATAGACATAATACTCAAAATTGAATTTATAACATGGCTTATGCAGGCTGGATATTGTTTGCTCCAAATTATTTCCCATTCTCCGAAATTCGTAACTGCAATAAAAAGCCGATATGCAGATAATGTTTTTTTTTTATAAAGGTAACATTAATCTGCTTAAGCCGTTGTTATTTATCAATCTTATAGCAGTTAATCAACTATAATATAATATCTTTATCTAAGATAAACACATGACAAAAACTGTTATCTTATACTTATTAATTAACCTCTTCTTTTTCGTACAAAGTTATTCGCAGAGTATTAAGAAATATATAATTATAACATTTTAAAAAATTGCTTATATAATATGCAAAAATATATCAAAACATCTTTAAAAATATAGCTTATATACACAAATATATGAGCTGTTTGGGAAAATACATATATACTGTGTTTTGTATAATATCTTCTCGCATATATAAAACATATAAATCGCATCTTCTCAAAATACAATAAAGGTCGTACATGTCGATATTCCATTTTCGATGTGTCCACATGTAATTTACATTCGGCGCACACGGTCGCTCAAACGATATAAATCACTAAACACAACTGGAAAGAGTCGTGTGATAAACACCTGATAACGCACTTTCCGTAACATGCACAATGTCATAGAAAATAGTAAACTTGCTAAGCTTGAAACATATATCTTGTTAATTGACGGTATCCTGCGTTAAATATCATAAATCGAATTCCAAGCTAGTGAATGACACAAGCTTAATTGCATTTCAATACAATAATCTGCATCCGACACACACAACAATCATATTATAATTTCCGGAAAAACGTATAACGCGTTTTTTTCATCTATCACTTGCCTTTTAGATTTCATCGATTATTGTTGTTAAACATAGAATGGTTTTTCTTGAGAGAAAGGGGATTATTATGAGATTTTTAGAAAAATATTTGATTATTTGTAATTAAATACAAAATAATGCAAACTGGTTGGCAAGAAAAATTGATTGATATATAACGTTGAAAACTTGATAGAATTGGCAAAACTATTTGTTCAGTATTTTTTATAAATCTCGCCCTTTGTAAATTTCTATCTAATGGGTATTTAAATCCAAAAACTCGCTCACGCTAGAAAAGCTGTGCAATTTCCAGTTCCTTGAAGAGAAGGTACATGCGCACGTTTTATATTCATAAATGCATCTCCATCCGATTACTGAATCGCGAAAGTTAAATGGCGTTATTCAACGCGACGAGCATCGCGACGGTTACGAAGTAACTCCTACCTGCTTTATGATGTTTCCGGAGTTGAGTTACAGCAAGGTTACAAGATCCGGAGCTATAAAAAATAACGATGTTACTGCGCGTTGTAGAGAAAAGAAAGGGATAATATGACGAAAGAAACATTTTATCGAAGAAGTTTGAAAACTTCTGGCTTTTTCAGTACAAAATAAAATATTCACAATCCCCTTTTTTCTCAAAATAATGTCAGATGTCTGAAATATTTTTTTATTATTATTTTATAATTATTTGTAATATTTACATATATACTCGCGTGCAATATTATAAAGTGTGAATAACATCTTTAGAAAGAAATATCGAATTAAAACAGTTTTTAAACAAAATGGAATATTATAAATTGCTTTATCAAATTTTAAGAACAATGCTTAGAATAGTTGTTTATTAAAACGCACTTGCACTTGTATTTTGTAAATCAAAACTCTTGCTACAATATATGAGAAACGTATAAAGTTACGGTTATTAATTAAATGTTATTATATAAATGGTTTTCAAGTATAAAAAAATTAGTTTTGTAACAAAATTTTACAAAATTTTGAACCATATTGTTCGTACTATATTTTCTCTAATAAAAGCAATTTTGTTTTTCTCGCATAGAACATAACTCTGTAAAACAAAGAGAATGTATGGAAAAAATATCGCGGCAGCCTTATTGTGGAATGTAATAAGCATGAATATAATAAAAGAAATTAATCATTATACTATTTAATTATTTTAATTATATAATCATATAATGCTATAAACTGTAGCATATCGTTGTTAATTTGACATTTTTGTAAAATATTCCAACATACAGAAAAAAAAGTGGTACAAAAAAACTTTTGTTTAGTGCTTTGTCAGAGAATGAATAAAAACCCAATGTAAATACTGACTTACGTAAAGTATCGCACGGCTCTATTCATGCTTTACGGTAAAAGTCACGCTAAGATGCATTCCCGGTATGTATCAATTAAACTCCCCTTTACTTTTTCGAATACCACGAATCGTGATCGCATTACACATAAGCGCGAATGAGAGTCACGGATCTCTTGACTATTAACCGCAAATTACATTAGTAAATGAAATTCTCGTGTTAACGGGAAGTTCCCGTGCGCCAGAACTTCTACGCGACTGCGTTCTTCAAGACCTTTTTCGCTTCGTGCCTCGCCGACTACACGGAAGATAAATCTTTATTTAAAGTTTTCGATGCGCTGCTCCGAGAAAACGTTGCACAGATATTTTAAATATTATCTTAACTATCTTTACATCACTGGAAAAAAAACTATATCTTAGTTTACTTTTATCTCTTCTGTTCTTTCGTGTTTAATATTTGTGCTGAAGAAGACAGGAAAAAATTTCTTATAAAAGCGAATATTAAAAAAATGTTTTGATAGTTAACATTTATTAAATTATTTCTGTTTAATCGTAAACAAATACAACAAATACTTTATATTATCCATGTATAATGTATACTTAATACATTGTTTTTGCAAACTAAAAAATTTAACTAAAGTAATTAATAATCAAACAATTAAGTTTGGCTCTTATTTCCCAATTTTCCCATTTAATTGTTAGTACTCTAAGCCTATTACTGCTATTATTAAAATAATTAAAATTTATATATTTGATAGAAATATCAGCGAAAATTTCCTCTTACCTACTTTATATTATTAACTTACAAATAAAACATTACTATGTTACGTATGTAATTACATATTTCTACATTATGTATAGACGTTAATTATAATAGAGCTTTAAAATGAAAATCAATATTTTATATACTCCCAATCATTTTAAATTAATATATTATACACGAACACAGCAGAGATAGTATTCAACACTTTATTTCACTTTCCGATATGTAATATTATATTTATAACAATGCCGCTTGACATTTTCAAAATTATTAGTTTCATTCTCTTTTATTTGCTTTCTCTGTAGACGTTCATAAATAAATTTAATTGATTTAGTGATATATTATATATGCTCGTACGGGCGACAAAACGTATTAAACAATTTACATTATATACACGTATATAATTCGACAACTTAGTAGTTTATTCAAGATGTTGTGATATCTCAAACGTGTTTTTAAATTACACGAAAAGAAATTCCGAGATTTACCTCGACTTTACAATTAAATCGATTTGTAAGTCAAGACTCGCGAGAATCGCCATTAAGACGAAATTTACTCATCACTGACATTGCATCGCCGGTGAATTGTATTCTTCAGCGACGCAAAGGAAATACAACGCGAGAACAGGACGGCATTCCGCTTCGGAAATTACTCCTGGATCGCAAGAATTGTTTACTGAAATTGTTTACGCGACGTATTAGGTATATGTACATGTATGTGCACACTGGCGCTCCGAGCCCTCTTCGCGATCAATCACGTTAGGTCATGTAAATATGCATGCATAAATATTGTACAAAACTTCTTCCATCCATAAATCTGATCTGTATTCGCGGTTGCAATTTTGAAACCGATTACATCTAAAATTTAAAAAGAATAAATTGAAAAAGACTTTCAAACTTGACGAAATCGATCAAATTGATTTAGTATGTATATAAGCGAGCAACGGATACACGAACAATGACCATCTATTGTATTTTCTATCTAATAAGTAAACTAATGAACCAAATTTATATCAGTTGTGATAGAGTATATTTAATTGCTGAGAAATAAGACCATGTTAGTTTAAAAATTCTATATAGAATGCCGGCTTTGATACTTTTCCTACTTACTTAAATGCGTTAATATGTATTTCTATCCAATATTTTGACTGTTTTGATCATTCATAATTATTGCTGAACAATAATTAAAGCAATAAGTACAGTTTTAGACATCACAGAAAAAAAGTTTCATCGCCTCTCATAAGAAACTTCGTCGATCATTTATCCCTTCGGCGTCTCGAAACTCCGTATCAGGTCACCGGCAAAACGTGGATCCGAATGAAAAGTACATGGACTACGCGAACTAATGGTGGGATCCG